CTTCAAATATTAAATGACTTCACTGAGAGTCGCAATACCAGTTGGGGCTCGACGATTTTAGCTTTTTTGTACCGAGAGCTTTGCAAGGCTACAATTATCAAGCAGGGTCGAAAAGAAGATGTAGCAGGCCGTTTAATATTGCTACAATCATAGGTGTAGTATCAGTTCCCATTTTTTACGTCGATTACAACAACCCCGGTCGTCTTTCATCTTTTTTTAATTTTTTAAAATTGAATTATTTTTTATTTGTTTTTAATATTTTTCTATTTTTAAATATTTTAGATGGTGTCATAAAATAACAGAGACGAAGTTGTCAGATGCTACTGCAAAAGATATACTGATGAGGATCAATATCGCCAATCGATATGTGATATACATTTGTTCATTTATGATTTTTTTGGGTCCAATTTTAAACTTTATATATATGAAGTTTGATATTTAATATTTATAGTTTTTTTGGCTTTCTTATGCTGACGACGAGATCTACCAGTTATTGCCACCGTATTTTTTAGGGGTCCAATTTATAGTGTGTCGCGATGTCGTTATTATATTTTGCGATTGTTGAGGGCACGCCGTTGATAGAGTACTACTAAAATATACGTCACATCAGTCGATTCCTACGCAAATCGTTGATATGGATGCACTCCATATAATTGATACGTATAGGAAACATGCCGAAAATTGGCTTGCAAAGCACGCTTACTACATCGAGCTATGGAAGCAGCGACACCTATCGCTCCCCCATTGTACGATATTACACCGTTAGACCTAGATTTTTACCATTCTCCCTATATCCAAAATTACGAAGCAAATGGGAAACCATATCTCACGACACCACAAGATAGGGGAGAATGAGAACAACATCATGCCTGATTCCCCAAGTTCAAGAAGAAATCATTGGCGTTTTCTTCTTCTGCTTCAGCATCTGCAGCTGAAGATTACTATAATGCATCTCAGGCGAGTTTCGGTTTCAATCTTGCATATCATACTTCAACCGAGACTCAGCCGACTTGGGTTGAAGGTTCATGGGATGCAATGCAACACACTCAAACATCTTCGACAGAACATATCGTTGAGAGTGAATGAGATCATATTGTATATGGTCAACAACATAGTCACCAAGTCAATTCAGTAACGGCAATGATAGCGTTAAATACCATATGCCAATCACCGTATTTCGAAGGTGGATCTCAAAGTGTGTTAAGTACACCTCCTCAGTAAGATGAAGATGACGACGACGACGATCAAGGCCGACGACCCTGCCGTACTCGACGATCCCCGCGCCATTATCATTCGACCACTCCTCGACATTATCAAGAACTTAGAAAATATAAATAAATTTTATTAGTTTGTAAATAATGTTCTTTTAGTAAAACATAACATTATTTTTTAATTAATTTATTTTTTTAAAATTTAATCTGGGAGAACTCGTCACCTTGAATTTGTAGAATTGCTCGTTAAAGAATTTCCCGTTGACCAACGACTACAAAACGACTATTTTTTGAATTCGAAGAAACTCATCACCTCGAGGTGACAAGTTACCTTTCTTTTTAATTTCTATTTTTAAATTTTTTTCAAAAATAAAAAAATATTTTTAACGGACTCGTCTTCTCGGCTTGACAAGTCCTAGTAAAAATAGTAAATTATCGGCCCACGTAGGACCCACTCATCCGAATCCATTAAAAATAATATTTCGTGTAACTCATCATCTCAAGGTGATGAATTCGCATGATACTATAACAAATGTCGTAGATTCTCAAATAATATTGGATGATGGGTAAAACCTTAAATTATTATTCCAATGGCCCTGTTGGGCCAAAAAGGCCATTGGTTATGTGGCCCATAAACAATTTTTGGCGTTAGGCCGCATTGAGCCCACATGTCCCCAAACAGTGGGTGAGGAGCAGATTATGTAGTCTTACTTGAGACCCGTGAATTTCGATGAGATAGCCTTCCCCAACCCCCCAATCATCTTCTTTCATCCACTTGCTCCACAAAATCCACTCCCAAAAACCTCTCCAAATTCTTCATTCCTCTTTCTCAAGTTGCACCCACGAAGATAGGCTGGTAAAACCACAGGTTCCTCCGCCAATTCTCTTTATTTCATACGTTGTCTAAAGGAACGTTCCAATATCATATTTCGGCTGCATTTCTAAGATGGTCTAATCGTTTTTAGCACGTTATCCACTTTTTGGGTTTAGGGTTATTGCTTTTATTGGATTTTTTTGAGTTTTTTTTTTCCTGATTTCTTGTGTAGTTTGCTGTGATGAGTACTCCTCTCCCTCGTGAATGGCTCGGCCTTCAACAATTCCCCGCCGCTACTCAAACAAAATTGTTTGATTTGCTGGGAAAATTGAAGCAAGAGGTTTTGATGAACCCTTTAATCTATTTCATTTACTTCGACTTAATAACATGTTTACACAAGATTGTTTAATGTAAAAAAAATGCAGAATGTCGATACTTTGACTATTCTTGTTATGGGCAAAGGCGGTGTAGGAAAGTCTTCTACTATCAATTCTCTTCTCGGGGAGCAAGTTGTTCGAGTCACTGCGTTCCAGGTGAATATTGGTTTTATCTGTTCCATTGCGGTTCTTAGCTTGATTCGTTTATGCTGTTTTAATCTTCTTAAGCTTTAATCGTCATTATATTCGTGTATTTTGCAGTCTGAGGGGCTGAGACCCGTAATGGCTTCACGCACATGGGCTGGATTTACATTGAATGTAATTGATACTCCAGGGCTTGTAGAGGCTGGCTATGTCAATCACCAAGCTCTTCAGTTGATCAAAGGGTCAGTAGAGTAATTAATCTGTCTAGCCTAGAATCTTATATTCTGCAAGATGAATATAGTTCTTAGTGAATTCTAGTCAAATTTTCATTGTAGGATTATGTTTAGTTTTCCTACATGTTATTGTTCATTTTGGTTACGAACAAAATCTATTATTCGCCATGCAGGTTTCTTTTGAATAAGACCATAGATGTTTTGCTTTATGTTGATCGCCTAGATGCATATAGAGTGGATGATTTGGATAAGCAGGTCATAAGGGCTATTGGCAACAGTTTTGGCAAAGAAATATGGCGCAAAAGTTTGCTGGTGCTCACTCATGCTCAGCTTTGTCCACCAGATGGACTGAATTATGACGTTTTTTCTTCTAAAAGATCAGAGGGTGTCCTAAAGGCCATTCGCGTTGGAGCTCGTATTAGGAAAAAGGAGTTTGATGTATGTATTTTCTTTCAGGTTTATTTATGTTAGACATGTTGGATCAAAAGTTTATTTGTTCCCGCAAGATTCCTTGATGTCTATGTAAAATAGTTTGTCACTCGTAATTCCGTTGTCTGAAAAGGATATCTTAGCTTGTAAATTTATCTTTATTAGTTACTATTTCTTTCTGTTGGTATGCTTAGAGTGCTGTGATTACTTTTTTTTATAGATATTTCCTTGCTTTTGATGCTTGTAGGATTCTGTCATTCCTGTTGTTTTGGTTGAAAACAGTGGAAGGTGCAATAAAAATGACAATGAAGAAAAGGTTTGAACGCATTTTTTTCCTTTCATATTATGCTCTCTATTTATCACCTTTTCATATATTTGATTGCCTTGATTCTTTGATAATTACATGTTATTTCCATACAGATTCTTCCCAATGGCGAAGCTTGGATTCCGAACTTAGTAAAAGCCATCACAACTGTTGCAACTAACAAGTGTCAAGTCATTGTAGTTAGCAAGAAGTTGGTTGATGGGTCTGACGCTAACGATAAAGGAAAATTGTGGATCCCAGTTATTCTTGGGCTTCAGGTAAAGTTTCCACAGTTTATTAGTTTCTGTTTGGGCTGAATTGGAACACAAATGATTTTTTTGTAATGGCCAAATTGTTTTGTTGTTCCAGTGGTTTGTTATCAAATGGATTCAAGGAGCAATAAAAAGGGATATTGCAACTGGCAATGGGCCTAAATGAGAACAACATAAATGGGATCTGCTCGAATGCAAGTTTCATCTGGCCTTCTTTTACTTTCCATATCATGTGTTTTCCTTTTGTTTTGTTTTTTTTTGGTAAATTGAATAAGAATCCTAAGAAGTTTGTTTTGTTAGTTCTATGCATATGCTTTAACAGGCAGAGTTTGTAGTTTTGGGATACCATTGAGCTTTTGTAGGATTTAAGCACATATATGCAGGCAAAGGTTCTTTTTGTTTCACTTCCACGTATTCCCATCTGTTTCTTTTGTTTTCTTTTCTCGAACTACTTGTATTGGTGTCTTTGTTCAGAGACAGATTTACGATTTCCTCCAGAGTATGTTCATTTATATTTGAAAGTACTTTTTACATAATCTTTTGTTCAAGGAAAGAATTAGCTCTTTCTTGTGGAGCATTTGCCTTTGTTGTTTAAGGTCGTAAAGGTGCAAGGAGCATTTATGGATAATGAACATGGTCTGGCCCAGCCAGCGTTGCCAGGCATGGTAGTGGTGCAGTATAGCTGGTTTACCTTATTTTTGGGTGCGTAAATTGCGGGGATTTGTGCAGGTTAACTCCCCACTATTACATGCTTGAATCATTATTGCATGCACTTCAATCACTGCAATACTTTATTTCATAAATCATTTTGCTGCTCTCCCCCCCCCCCTTTTTGACCCCTCTTTTTATCCATGTTACATGCTCATTATCATTTGCACTCAAAATACGGTCAAATTTAGCTTGTTAATATCGGCTTATTAAATGTCTTCTATTAAAGATTTGGAATTTTTAGGACGATGTCATGTAAGATCTTAAGTCCTAACTATGCTCCACCAATGGCTTGTAAGAAAAAGAAGTCTTACTAAATTTTGCAATTCAACTCGGAAGGCAATTCAGATACTTTTCCTTCTTATTACATTATCATTTGGTTAATTTGATATTATAATAAGGATTTGAATCCAACTATATAGATAAAATTACATGTACCTATGTCAATTAACAAAGAGTTAAGTTACGGGAATTTTAAATAATTTTTATTTTTATTGATCTATGTCAATTAACCATGCCAACCCAAAATGCGGTCCTTCGACAAAAGCGTAGTCCGAAAATTATGTCGAGGAAGCATCGTGATTGAAGATTCGGTTGAGGCATGGGACTGGAACCCATGCATGCGCCACCCTTGGTCTGCATGCCCAGGTGAAAATCAACCTTATCATTTGGTCCTCTCTTTAGCCGTGTCCCACAGGGCAGTGAAATAAACCAGTTGCTATAAAAGTGGTGCCTCACTTGCTCTCCCTCCGACCCCCAAGGCCCGGGAGAAAGACAAACATGAGCAGAAGAAGCAACTTGAAAAATGCCGTCGTGGCATTTCTTGTTCCTCTCCCTTCAATTCTGTTCTATCTTTATTTCCTTAGTCATTTCCAGAGCAACTGTGCTCCTCTGTGGTCATGGTGCTTCCATCACCCTCTTCTGTTAGCAAATGTCTTCTTTTTCTTCAATGTCAATGTCCTCTTCTGGCTCATTGGTTTCATCCAATCCAGCAACTGGGTCAGTGCCTTCTTTTTATTACTTGTAATTCTTTAAACATTTATTTAAATTCTACTCCTTTTGGTTGGTTTCAGATGATTGATCTGTATTGGATGGTGATACCGGTGTTGTTACTTCATTACTATGCAACCCACCCTTTGGCTCAATTTGATCCTTGGAGATCAATGATCGTTACAGTGTTGACTTGGGTCTGGAGTATTAGGCTGGCCCATAGCTATTTCAGGCGAGAAGAATGGCAGTGGGGTGCCAGAGAAGACTGGAGGTTCGCTGATATGCGCTTACAGTACGGCAAGCATTGGTGGTGGATTTCCTTCTTCTCTGTTTACGTTTCTCAACAGGTGAGTCTCCACTCTCCGGATATTTTGCATTATACGTTTTGATACTTTCTCTAATAACAAATAAAAATTTGAAATGAAAAAAGCTGATGAGAGAACATGAACTAAACTAACTGGTGTTTCAACTCTGCAGATACTTCTGATTGGAATATGTCTTCCACTGTATGTCGTCCACTCGGTTGATAAGCCCTTAAATATCTGGGATTTTGTTGCTGCTGGAGTTTGTTTGTGTGGCATTGTCATAGGGTACTTGGCAGATACACAACTGCATAATTTTGTGATTAGAAATACCAAGCTAAAAGAGCTCGGAAAACCTATGGTCCCGAACCTCGACCGTGGCTTGTGGCGGTACTCGCGGCATCCAAACTACTTTGGGGAACAACTATGGTGGTGGGGAATGACTGTATTTTCATGGAACTTGGGTCATGGATGGACCTGTGTGGGGTGTTTGATCAATAGTATGTGCTTAGCTTATGTTACTTTCCTTGTGGAGCAGCGGATGTTGAAGCAGGAGTACAGAGCTGAAGCATACAGGTTATACCAAAAGACAACCTCGGTGTGGGTACCATGGTTCAAATCTTCTGCTATAGCAGTGAAGGATAAGGTTACTTGATCTAATATTTTGTAATTCTGCCAGTATTTTCAAAAGGAAAAAAAAATCATCTCCAATCTTTTTCCTCTATTGTTTTTGGTTTCTCTCACGGAGAATGTAATCAAGTTGCTCATCCATTAGTTGAGTTCAATCCTATGGGTTTTTCTTCAATAAAATTACATGCAAGCCCAGATGAAATGGGTTTGGGCTTATTCTGGAAACGGGAATTGATCTACAGAAGAAATTGAATTAAATACCTGAATTAAACAAGAAAGAAAGAGTTGAATAAATAAGGGTTAAAATTATTATTGTCTCCTAAATTGTATCATTTGTACTAAATTGTTTATAAAATATTTTTTAAGACGTTTTTCCCTTGAACTTTAAATTATTATCTTGTTTTTCTTGAATCGTTAACACGTTAAAAAAATTATTGATCAATTAGAACATACTATATCACCCTTAATTTTTTATTTAAATAAATGAATATCATTTTAAAAATTAACGTTCCTAAAATGCCCCTATTACAACCCCCCCCCCCCCCGACATCCCCAGTCAACATCAAATTATATCAGTTCATTTCTCGTACAGTCAAATAAACATTGTCTAGGACAAATTCACGGTTCGAACACAAGAAAGTCATCATTAGAGATCCAAGTTCTCCACAAAGAATCATTAAAAAAATCATTTTCAGTCCACCAACATTAGCCCTATGAGCAGTCTCTAATGTTAAGTTCTTGTAACTTTCAATTCCATTGTCATTAATCAACCTAGATCTATTTTCGATTATGAAGTCTGTTGGAGCTGAAAACAACTCAATTCTCCTCAAATATGAGGACTAAATATGATTTCAAAAACTTCACCATGAGAACTAAAATCACGCAGTAACAAGAAGCCATTAGTTAAAATATTAAATTTTACATATGTCAAATCAAAATTTTGAGCTTGAAATGGAGGCGTATTGTATAATATGGGGGAATCCGGATATGGGTTTTTGTCAATGAATGAAATCCAACTGGATTTAGCTAAATCGACTATAAAGACGCGATTATAAATTGAATTGTTGGCGTTTAAGCAACAGTTGATGAGAAGCTATTTGCAGGGACGAAAGATTTAGCTAAGCAAAAGAATGGAAGGAAGAATAAAGTTAAAAGGTAAAACTTTCGATCATCTATGAAAGGTCACAGAGGAAAGAAAGAATGCTCTTGAAGAAATTGGGTTCACTTGGAGGTTAGGAGAAATTATAGAGTGAAGAAGGAGAAAAAGGGATGTTGGGGGAAAGGGAGGGTTTGACGGTGGAGATTTGGGTGGGTCGTTAATTTACAGGGGAGTTGGGTTGAGGAAGGACGATAGTGTTGATGGAAAAAAAGAGTAATTTTGAGAGTTTATTTATTTTATTTTATTAATGAGGCCCTTAAGATGTTTAGAATAGATTGTTTATTTTAAATTTTGTATTCAATCAAAGAAAAAATATTTTATTTTATTTTATTAATTGATTTTATTTATTTAGATGAAGAAAATAAAAATTAAGAGTTGAAATAGTATGTTTTGATTGGTTTGTAATTTTTTTAACGATATTAATAATTTGAGATAAACAAATAACAATTTAAAATTAAGAGTAAAGTATAGTAATGGTCATTGAACTTTTCTAAAGCTTTCATTTAGGTCTCTCAACTTTTAAAACTTGTAATACAGTCCCCCAATATTTAGTCCGTTTGCAATATGGTCCCCCAACATTTAGTCTGTTTACAATATGATCCCCGACCATTTGACGTCGTTACACTGCCGTTAGCATGTTTGTAATATGGTCACTAAACTTTTCAGGCACTTACATTTAGGTCCTCCAACTTTTAAAACTTGCAACACAGTCCTAAATTTCATTATAAACCCCAAATTCCTTTTCAATCTCGAATTTCCTTTTTCGCTTCTCTCTTCTCATTTTCAGCGTAACTTTTCAGTCGGGGATGCATGGGAAATTCTAATATAACTTTGAATCATGTGGAGATGTTGACTTGAATAAGGGTCTATTGAGAGAAGACCCGACCAAGGGACTATCGAGACCATCAACGATTCAAGGTGTAATGTTAGATACAAGTCATCTCAGGTGAATGGATGTTCGATAAATGCTTGTGAGAAAAAATGGGTTTAGAAATGCAGAGTTGACAAATACTACTAAGATGAAGTAAGTATCATTGTTAAAAATCACCAACAAAGCTGGAATTATTTTGTATAAATGGCATATAATAATTTCTTCGTTTAATCCTTGTGCTTAAAGATTTTCCAACAGATGATAAGTATAATGAAATCCCAAATAACACATTCACCTCTCAGTCTCTTTTGTAACTCGAAAGGCATCATGACAGTGTCAAGTAGCTACTCCAAATATACTACGCTGTCATCATGCTTTTCGAGTTGTGTGCATGCAGAATTATCTTCTAAAGCTATAATTCAATACAATTCAACTGTAAAATTTCCAAAATATGTAAAAAAAATAATTCGTTCACAATATATCAGTCCCATAATCAACATGAACTTATTAAAAAGAATACGAGCTCACAGGACGTCGAAAACCACAGGCCGGATCAATAAATTCCCAGTAAACTAGCACCAACAATCTCTTGGATTGAGCCTGGCGATTTCACTATGTCGATACTCACAACCAATTCCATGATTTAAAGAAAAACCAAACAAGAAGATCAAAAAAATTTAGCCTAGGACCCTATTTCACTTCTATTCTGATAGACTGAATATCTTTCATAGAAGTACTAAAAGTTTTGATTAAGAAGAAAAAAAAGAAAATTAGATGGTTTTGTAACATCCTCAACACCGGGTTTGTGATTAAAGTGTAAGATTTTTAAATTCAATGACCAAAGTAAATAAAATGAAAAGTGAATGAATTAATTAAAAGATGTTGGTGTTGGATGAATTAATAAGTGAATGAGAAGTAAAAGGGTAAAAGGGTCATTGAGCAAATAAATGAATAAAATATTGTTTGGGTTATCTTATAACCCACGTGGAGCACAATTGTGGGAAACAAAAGTTTCCAGACAATTCATTCATCTTCATCTTCTTCTTATCTTCTCCCAAACGTGAAACCTCAAGCTCAAGGTGAGTTTGATTTCTTTTGGTTAATCTTTCAAATTAAAGTATGGTTTTAATTCATGAAGCTTTAGGAAAGATGATGGAGATGAAAAAGGTCATAAAAACTCAAATATTTGTAAGTTATGAATGATTAAAGATAGGAAGTGGATAAGTGAAATTTTGAATAAGAAGGTTTAAATGAATTTTGAGGATGAATTTGACTTGTCATATATGAGAATAAGAAGTTAGAAATAAGTTTGGATTACATGGAAATTTTGGTATGATTCTTAGTTTTAAGAATTTGAATGAGATATGGGAAATTCTAAAGTGTTGGAATGATAAAAGCTAGTTAAAATGGTTGTAGTTGAGTTTAGTGGTATGAAAGGAGGTTTATATGAGGAAATTTAATGAAAAGTTGTGGAATTTTCGGGTGAAACCAGTTTATTATTGACATGTGCATCGATGCACTATGAATGGGCACCGATGCACTAAGACAAAATTTGAAGGTGCATCGATGCATGGGATTTTCAAACCTAATTTGGGTATCGATGCATCCATAGTGCATCGGTACACCCCTAAAGAAAAATTGAATTTTTGGGTCATTAAATTAGTTCAAGTTATTAGTATCGAATTATAAGGTTGTCTTCTTATAATTGTCTTGAAAATTATATTTATGTAGATATTGAGCCTAAACGAGTTCCGGAACAAGTGACAAGTAAGATTGATCGAGGGAAGGACAAAGATATATAGATGAGTGCATATTATAAGTATGGTACGATGAAATAAGACTTGTGATAAGTCTAATTCCTATGTTGATTTTCATAGTACAATAATTATGAACATGCAAACATGATAATTATTATGATACATGCATAAGATATATATGTTCATATGATTTGATAAATGATATATGTGAATAGATTCAAATGCACATGTGATATGATAAATGATACGAGCTATGCGATCACAAGAGAAAGGACATGAGTACATGAACATATGAAACATAAAAATAATGCCCATGGTATATGATATGAGAGCTATAGGTATAGTTGACATGCCAAGAGTCGAGGGTTCTACGTGGTCCTTCGGGACATATATGTATCATTTGGAACATTTATAGGGTCTTTTGAGACAGATTTGATCCACTGGAATATGTATATGGTTCTTAAGGAGTGGTCATTCGGAACAAATACAATATATAGGTCATTCTGGACAAAAATCATATGCCCCTAGTGTGACCCCATACGAGCTGTGGTGACAACAATAGTGCATAACCTCAACTTACTCGAATACCTTGAGTTCTCAAAAATGTGCATGGGCCTATAAAAGGTTATCAAAGGTAATTGCATTATTATAGTTATATGTTACCATATTATTATTGTTTACATTGAATTGCATATGACATGATTGAATGGATAGATTGCATGTTCATATTCATGTGGAATGCATTATTATTATATTTATATGGCTTACTAAGTCTATGACTTAGTGTGTAAGCGATTTACACATAGGTACTAAGAAGCATGAAGATCAAAGCTAAGCTTAGACGTAGAACATATCTCCACTTGAAGGTCAGATCAGAAGTATATTAAGTAGTATGTCTTATTATGTAAAAATAGTTTAGCATGTAAACAAAGTCGGTAAATTAAGTATTTATGCTCTGATCGAGTTTTGTAATGTTTTAAACGTATTTATGTAAATATAAATGCAAAGTAATAAACGGTTAAATTTTTACGAGTTTTATGTACATTTTACGAAAATCGATGTAGCAGTGCATCAATGCACAATTTGCATTTGAAAATTTTGTACATCGGTGCACTGTAGCAATACATCGATGCACTGTAGCATTGTTCTTAGTATTGTTCATTACTGTTTACGGTACTACTCATATCGTATAGTACTATTCATAAATACATTTTTGCCTTAAATTTTATAATGAAGCATAATTTAATAGTATTTTCTTAATATAAGTCCAAAGGTTCTGTATTTTGTTAAAAATTTTGTTTTTAAAAGTCAATGTGACATCTCAGACTCGTATTCGGGTTGGGTACGAGTTGGGGTGTTACAGGAT